TCAAAGTGGATGTGGGTAAGTATATTGGATGGTGGAAGCTCAAGACTAGTGTATAGGGAAGTTTGTTTCTACTGTCTGCTCTGGGAGAGAGGGTACAATTTAAATAACTTAATTCAGTGAGTAGATTTGAACCAGTGCTACTTGTGATGTATTTAAGGTAGTTAAATTTCTTTGGGATTGGTCTAGTTCCTGGCCTATGTTTATAAAAAAAATCTAGAGATTTGATAGGATTGTAATTCTAGGATGTTATCAGGATGTTTTTGTCTTCATTCAGAAATGTCTCAATTTTAACTTTTTAAAATATTTTTAAGTTCAATTGGATGGAACAAAATCAAAGAAGGAGCTGTTTAATGAAGTTTATGAACAGATCCAGAACAAGATTGAGAAACTGCTGCTTATGCAGGTAAAAAACAAACGAAGCGTACCTCACTGCAATGGCAAACTGGCTTAATGTTTCTAAAATGAACAAGAGTGACTCTTTAAATACTTCTTTCAGAAACTCAGTGATTGGTAGTTGTACTCAGTAGAAGGGGGACTACTAGTGTTGTCAGACAGGAAAACAAAGCTGTTAATTGTGTACACTATTGTAAGTGAGCCTCTTATGTATAATGTCAAACACTGAAATTTCCTTCGTTTTACAGAGATAGACAAGCAGCCGATGGATTCCTATGATCTAAAAAGAAGCCTGTTAACACTAACTTACTTTTTATGCGTACCAGACTTTGGCAGTTAAGCTTCAGCTTGTTAAGATTTCCTTTTTCACTTTTTAAAATTGGACTTCGTTCAGTTTTCACCTGAAACTCATGGAGTTAAATGTGGCCTTGATTAAAGCATTTCCCCTCCATGAAGTCTCTGTAGTTTAGTTCATGCTTAAAGTTTGAGACAAGCTTCCATATCCCAGATATGGAGAAAAGTAGTTGTCCTTGGAATGGGCCTGTATTTTAAATTTATATGCATTTATTTAGACTTTTTTGACTTCTTGAATATGGTAGCACACTTGCCAGTTGGAAGTACAATGGCACTGCCATTGTCAATAAGTCCATACTCTAAGTTACAGCTGTATCCTTTCCACTATTAACACTTCCCATTCAATGCTGACCAATAGAATCTCAAGTGTACTGTCATTTCAGATTATTTTTATGCCTTTTCCTTCAGCATTGAATGTGATAGAGGCATGTAAACTTGAAGAAATTCTCACTGATTAAAAAATGGTTTGTGATGAAATGGAACTCAGTTGTGGGGTTAGGGTAAATGGAGTGATTCTCCCCTCCCCCCCCCAAAAAAACCCAACAACACTTAGCAGATGCTTTTATCTTGGATTAAAGAATGGGACTGTTGTGAAAAGCAGAAATGGAGAAAATAAGGTGAGTTTTTGTAATACATCTTATTTGATCCTTATAATACAACCCTCCCCTCCCATTTGCTTACATGGGAATGTATTATAGGAGCAAAGGCTAGCAGGATCCTAAAATGTAACTAGTTTGACATCTTTATCAAATTCTAGCATGAGTAGAAGTGACCAAATAGGTTAGCCATGGAAGGTGTTAGGTTTAAGCAAAAACCATTTTCAGTGGCACAGGAACACCTAAAGTAAATAACAGGTAAAACAGACAGAAGGGATTGAAATTGATGACCATCTAAACCTACTACAACTTAGTCTCCCAGCACAGACTTTCAAAGTAAATACTAATTAACACTTAAACTATATTACACTTGTTTAGTATTATGGTATGCTCCCTCAGATTTCCTGGCTTCCTTAGAGTAGTATATAGCCTACAGAAAAGTGTACTTTTTTCTGTGCTCTGACTCTCAATAAGTACTCCTATTTTTAAAAAAAGTCCCAATTTATGTGTCAAGAGACTTGGCTCTTACATCCATAGATGCAAACTGTGTCCGGTTCTGGCTGCCACCCTGTAAAAAATGTGGACTTATTGGAGAGAGTCCAGGGGAGGAGAACAAAAACAAACAAACCTGGGCATGTTCCTTGAGAAAAGACGACTGAGGGGGGACTTAAAATATGTAAATATCTTAAAAGCGAACTGTGATCAATTGTTTTCCATGTCCTTTTAGGTATGACAAGAAATAATGAGTTTAATCTGTGGCAAGGAAGACCTAGGTTAAAGTATTTTCCTAATATCTATCGATAAGTTTAGTTAAGCTCTGGAATGTGTTTCCACAGGAGGTTGTGGAATTCCCTAATTGGAAGGTTTTTTTTTTGTTTTAAAAACAGTTTGGACAACTGTCATGGATGGCATAGGTTTATTTGGTCCTGACACTGCAGAGAGGCTTGGACTTGACTTCTTGATGTCCCTTCCATCTCTACATTTCTATGAAACAGTATAGTCCCTCATTTTTTCCATTGAGGGTAAGAGCAAAAGGTTAATGTGACAGAAATGCACTCTTTTTGGAGATATAAGTTCATCTTCTACACTCTACACAAGTACAGTGGATTTTCCACAAGTAGTGTCCCTTATTTTGCCTTTGCTCTCCCCTGATATTTAGAGCTTCATTTTCATCTTTTGCACCAGTCCACGTCAGGTTTAAATGGATTTGCCAAATACTGGTGTAAATGAGATCAGAATTTGGGTTCAAGTTCTATCTGATACATACTGTCTAGACTTTCCCCTTGAATCTCCCATGTTAGGGGGATCTACACTGACCAAGAAACACAAATGGCCTCTTCCTGCTCAAATACAGGGGGTATTTTTCTTTATTCTTAATCTGTAACTTGCTGCTTTTGCATTTCTTTGCTTTCAAGGCTTGCTTCTCCTACCTTGCTGACTATTACTACAGCATTTTGTGTTGCGAACAAGTGGAGGAGAAGGTTAGCATCCCTCAGTTCTCTTCCTCTGATTTCATCCATTTCATGACTTTATCACTTCTGATCACATTTCCTAGATTTGGAAGCTGCAGCTCTTGGCTGTCTATCATCTCAAACTTCTTCCACTTAGCCCAAGCTGACAACTGGAAATGAAGAATGCTCTACTGGTGAGGATGCTAATGTGGGCACTGGGAGATCCAAATTCAAGTCTCTTCTCCATGACAGATTGACGCTGGGCAAGTCACCTAATCTTTGTTCCTTCCCTCAAAGGACTGTTGTGAGAGGCTCATTCTGGTGTAAGCACTATCAATAGAACTCTATCCTTATTGTCTTCTAGTGTTGCAATTGCTGTTATTCTGGTCTTAGCTCTCCTTCCCTCCTATGTAGTCTTTTACCAAGACCTGCCAGTTGGGGCTGTTTTAAGATAATTGATATACAACTGTCTTGCTATCACCATTGCTTAATCCTTTATGCAGCAGTCATCTCATTTGGACTACCTGGAGTATTTTTGGCCTCTTAACTTTCCCTCCTCTGTTATATCTGAAACACAGCTGACAAGTCTTCTCTCTACCATTCTCCACTTCACGGGGTGCATGAAGTACAAGATTCTTGTCCTTTTTATGGCCTCCTTCTTGCCCTATTCTTGTTTGCTCTGGATGTTTATTCATACTACTGCCTACCACAGTTGTCTTCAGATCCCTCCTTAACAGTTTAATCAGCCGTCTGTTCTCTAATCCATTCCCCATTCTTCCCTTGTTTTAAATTAGACTAAACATTAAGGAACATTAGTATTATGTAAATTTAAAACACTTTGAGGGGCGGGGCTTGAGTTTGACACCTCACCCTCAATTTAGCAGTTGTCTATCCAGGGTAGCTTTTATCAACTGCCACCTCAGATTAAGTCCAATATTTCACAGTATGGGCCAGAACCCTATTGATGGGGTGACATCTGACCTTCTTCCCAGCCACGGCTTTAGCACTTGCTCTGAAATTGCCATTGACCACTTCAATCTATCAGCACAATCACCTTCCAGCATAATACCTATCACTGCTGTCTTTCCTTACCCAGATATAACGTGACCTGCTATAACACGAATTCTGATATAACGTGGTAGAGCAGTGCTCTGGGGGGGGCGGGGCTGTGCACTCTGGCGGATCAAAGCAAGTTTGATAGAATGCAGTTTCACTAATAGGTGGTAGGATTTTTTGGCTCCCAAGGACAGAGTTATATCGAGGTAGAGGTGTAATTGTTCTTAAATGGTTCCCCCAAGGACACCTATGGGGCAGATCAGTGAGAGGGAGATTGATTCCTTCCTGCTTCAAAACCTACTGTGTTGGTTGGAGAAAAAGCAGCAACAGAGCTCCTGGCATGTGGGGGGGGACAGGGGGGAAATGGAGGAATGCAAGAAGCTCCTGCTTTGTGCAGTAAGTTTGACCTATCAACATAGCAGCATGCATGCCCTAGTTAAAAGTACTTAAATTAATGGAAGGTAACCATTTTAGTACTGCCCAAACCATGAATGCCATGAGCAACTAATGAATAAAGGAAGTCTCTCATCCATCAGTATTGCACACATAGCTGAACTTCCCCTTTCCTGTCAGTTTTTAAGTCTGGCTCTAGACTTGTCTGAACTCCAGTCAGGATTAACAGAGGCAGAGAGGCCTGTTCTATGATTAGTGCTGAAACCAGAACTTCCTCTAACTTGATAGGAACTAGATTATGCTGATGGGTGAATGACAACTACTAAGCCACTTAGCTGAAAATAGGTAATTTATTCTATGCTAGATAATTAGAGAGCCAGTGTTTTGAACTGAAACACCATTTAGATCACTAGTCTGCATATGTAGACTAATAGATGTCTTACAATAACAGAAGTTTAAATGATACATTTAATATTGGAAGGTATATTGCACAGTTATTATGTAGCTCCCATCATTTCCATGCTGACTAAGTGTACAAAGTAACAAATCAGATGCAATAGGCTTTAGTAAGTAAACTTATATAGAGTGGGATCTTATTAAAAAGACACCAGTTATTTAGAGTTGGGTTCAGACTCTCTCCTTTGTGTTACAATACTCTGGTATGGTACTTATCATCAGTAGAAGATAACTGCTATCATTTCCACCCTACTGTTCCACCATTAACCCCAATGACATTTTAGTAACAGGACATCTTACATTACTTTTGAATTCAAGGTTTAATTCTCACCACAAGAGAAACCTGGCCTTTGATACATCAAGTACAATATCCACAGAAGTATGTGCTATTATTTTTGAGAGAACAGGTGTGTGCTTTAAAAATTGTTCCTCTTCTTAGACTTAGTTCGGGCCAGTAAGTAAAGTTGATTGGATCATCATTTCAAACCAAGATGCATCAGCTTTCTTACAGGAGCAGGACCTCCCCAGTAGCCCCTAAGGGGTGGAAAAAAAGTTTTAGCCACTGTATACTACATAAATTAGACCACCTCTTTCATTGTAACTGAGTAAACTTTACTATTGTTCCTAGCTAGCACCACACCCGTTACAAATACAATGCTTCAAGTTTTCTTTCAGGGAACAGGGGTCGTTTTGGATATAGTTTCATGGGTTTACTAGTAGGTTGCAAATAGATGAGCAGGAAATTAAGGAGAGTTCTAAGAGCCCCACTGATCAGCACCTCCACCTCCCTCTCAATCAGCTGCTTTCATGTGCAGGAGGCTCTGGGGGAGCGAGGGCACTGTAGGCTCAGGGAAGGGGGCAGGAAGAGGTGGAGTGGGGGCAGGGCCTGTGGCAGAGCCAGGGGTTGAGTAGTGATCCCCTCTGCCCCCCATGGCACATTGGAAAGTTGGCGCCTGTAGCTCCAGCCTTGGAGTCGGTGCCTTTACAAGGAGTCACATTAACTTCTGAAGAGCCCCATGTGGCTCTGGAGCCACAGGTTGGCAACCCCTGTGTTAGATGGTGGTGACCTGAAATGGAAGCATTCTGATGAACATAATCTGCTCATTTTAAACCACAGTACAACCTACTGCATGGGTATTATGTGTATGTTTTGAATGGGATCACCTCAGGAGCCAAAGTTAGTTTGTATACATTGGGAGTACTTACTTTAGTAATCCATTCCAGTAAAGAAAAGGCATTAGATCAGCTTTCATGTAGTACATGAGTAGTCTCTCCTTACTCTGGTCAATGGGAAACGTTTCCAGAGGCTGAGAATTGTAGTCAAATTCTGCTAGAATCACTCTATCGTAGCCTGTTACAATGGGACAGGAAGTGTATCCATCGTACTACAATGAAAGGTATCTTCTCATCATCATGTACATTTTACACAAAGTGCTACAAGCAAGCTCTACCTGAAGAGGGTTTATCCAAAAACCACTTCAAAATGAATGAGCTTGTGAAACTGTAGTTTTGCACTAGAAACTGTAGTTTTCAAAATCATAACAGATGCAGCAATTCAAGTTTCTCTATAACACTGTACCAACAGGCCTCAACCCTGGATCTAGAGCAGGAACCATTCAGTCCTTTTGGTGCTGCCAAAAAACTGTATGTAGTTAATGACAGCATGTTTGTGGTTATGAGGATATTTAACTACTTTTCCCTCCCTCACTACGAACTTGAGCCAGTGGCCGCTAGACAGGAACTTCTGTTCTCCCTCACACAACAAGAGGACATAAAATGTAACTGTGGCAAATTCAAAACTCACGAAGGATATACTTTTCCAGTCCAATAGGTAATTAGACTGTTGAACTCATTGAGACCAAGACTTTAGCATGATTCAAAAAGAGATGTGACATTTATATGGAGAACAAGAGTATCCAGAGAGATATGGTGAATGCTAACAAATCTCGGAAGGGTATTAAATCTCAGGTCTTAGATTGAAATGAAGGCACAAGCTGATCTCTATTTAGGGTTCTTGAGACAAATTATTTGCTGGCCTCAGTCTGGCCGCCAACTCTTGCTGATGGCTGTTTTCACACTGTTTTCCTAAAATTCCTAATTAGCTTTAAGAAAAACAATTTATGCACATGTAAACATCCAAATAATTGTAATGTATTTATTCCTACCTAGTAAGTCTTTATCACTTTTTAAAATAGACAAGTATCACTTTTCACAGCAGACTTACTGAGCCCTGGCAAGTCTGGGGACAAATTAAGACCTGGATGGGGGGAGGGATGGAGCCTGAAGCCACACGGCTGGGGGACAGAGCCCCAAGCTGCATGTCTGGAGAACTGGTGCCTGGGGCTGAAGCCCAAAGCCTGAGCCCCACCATCCCGGGAAGGTGGGGAAACTCATCAGCTGTCTGCTCCTGCAGCTGTATCCAGAGAGGGGGCAGAGCCCAACCCCTGCTGGCAGCCCTAGCAACCAACACCAAGGTAGTGCATCCAGAAGCAACAGGGAGAGGAAGAGGCTGCTGCTTTGTTGCCCCCCAAAAATCACACCCCAGGAGGCTGTGGCTGCAAGAAAAGCCCCTCATGGCCGCATTTGAGAAACATGACTAAACTTTTCAGGGGCAGAGATTGTCTTTTCTGTGTTTGTACAGTATCCAGCACATGGACCCCCTTCTTTGGTTTTCCCTTAGGCACTACTGTAATAAGCGGAATAAATAATGACTATTAGAGAATAGGATGAGACCTAATGGGGGGGGGGGGGGAAAAGAGGGGAGAAGGGGGAAGCAGCAGCTTAACAGCTGCCTATAGTGGGAATCTTACACCTTCCGCTGAAGCTGCTGCAGCTGGCCACTAATGAAGACTGACAAACCTCCCAAATGCAACAGGCATGTCTTTGACTTTGCCTTCTAACATCAACATATAGCAACTTGTATATTCTATCAAAAATAATGTAAATCCTACCAAAACAAGGTATTCCATTGCTCACACTTCTCCCACAGGGAGTGGATAATAGAGCAAACAACATATGATAGTTGTGTAGTCTATAAGCCTGTAGCTTAATGCAGTGCTTGTAGGCAATCATACTACAGTAATGAGCAGTTTAAGACATAAGAACATAAGAACGGCTGTACTGGGTCAGACCAAAGGCCCATCTAGCCCAGTATCCTGTCTACCGACAGTGGCCAATGCCAGGTGCCCCAGAGGGAGTGAACCTAACAGGTAATGATCAAGTGATCTCTCTCCTGCCATCCATCTCCACCCTCTGACAAACAGAGTCTAGGGACACCATTCCTTACCCATCGTGGCTAATAGCCATTAATGGACTTAACCTCCATGAATTTATCCAGTCTCTTTAAACGCTGTTATAGTCCTAGCCTTCACAACCTCCTCAGACAAGGAGTTCCACAAGTTGACTGCGCTGTGTGAAGAACTTCCTTTTAGTTGTTTTAAACCTGCTGCCTATTAATTTCATTTGGTGGCCCCATGTTCTTGTATTATGGGAATAAATAAATAACTTTTCCTTATCTACTTTCTCCATATCACTCATGATTTTATATACCTCTATCATATTAGTCTCCTCTTTTCCAAGCTGAAAAGTCCTAGCCTCTAATCTCTCCTCATATGGGACCCGTTCCAAACCCCTAATCATTTTAGTTGCCCTTCTCTGAACCTTTTCTAGTGCTAGTTTATCTTTTTTGAGATGAGGAGACCACATCTGTACACAGTATTCAAGATGTGGGCGTACCATGGATTTATACAAGGGCAATAATATATTCTCCGTCTTATTCTCTATTCCCTTTTTAATGATTCTTAACATCCTGTTTGCTTTTTTGACCGCCGTTGCACACTGTGTGGACATCTTCAGAGAACTATCCACGATGACTCCAAGATCTTTTTCCTGATTTGTTGTAGCTAAATTAGCCCCCATTATATTGTATGTATAGTTGGGGTTATTTTTTCCAATGTGCATTACTTTACATTTATCCACATTAAATTTCATTTGCCATTTTGTTGCCCAATCACTTAGTTTTGTGAGATCTTTTTGAAATTCTTCACAGTCTGCTTTGGTCTTAACTATCTTGAGCAGTTTAGTATCATCTGCAAACTTTGCCACCTCACTGTTTACCCCTTTCTCCAGATCATTTATGAATAAGTTGAATAGGATTGGTCCTACGACTGACCCTTGGGGAACACTACTAGTTACCCCTCTTCATTCTGAGAATTTACCATTAATTCCTACCCTTTGTTCCCTGTCTTTTATCCAGTTCTCAATCCATGAAAGGACCTTCCCTTTTATCCCATGACAACTTAATTTACGTAAGAGTCTTTGATGCGGGACCTTGTCAAAGGTTTTCTGGAAATCCAAATACATTATGTCCTCTGGATCCCCCTTGTCTACATGTTTGTTGACCCCTTCAAAGAACTCTAATAGATTAGTAAGACACAATTTCCCTTTACAGAAACCATGTTGACTTTTGCCCAACAATTTGACTGTGTATAATAGAATTATTGGTCAGTTCAGACATCTCTTTTTTGTTCATTCTTCCTACTTAGTGAGTCAGCAAAGCAATTGTATCGTTGGGGCTAGACTAGGCTTTGTGCACGGGGGAAAATTTAAGCTTAACACGTATTATTGTCAATTTCTTTTTAAAGGGTCTTTCTTCCCCCTTCCCCTATGCAGCTTGTAAGCCTTTTTAAAAAATAAAATAAAATAAAAAAAACACCAAATTACGAGACTCTTGTATAAATACTAGTTCGTTTTAGTATCAAATAATAAGTCCCCTTAATTATTTTCAGTTTTCTTGGATTCTCCATAATCTTAAGTATCCTTTTCCCAGAAAGGCTTAACATAATAGTGGTTTCAGGGTAACTGACAAGGTTTTGAAGTTACACTAAGTTTTTTCCTTCAGTACCTTTCTCCTTTAGAAAGTCAACTTAAAAATTCAGGAGTGAAGAATTGTGAGACTGGATGGAGAAGAGTGGTACCTGTCTGTTCTTCAGCACCTGCTACTGAAGACGGGGACAAATATAACTAAACTAAGCTGCACATGAACAATTAAACTGCTGTATTTTAAGAGTACAAACACCTAAAATATAAGCAATACTCTCTACCCACTTTTATTATTTAAAAAAAAAAATAAACTGCTGGAGGATAATTCTAATAAGGCAATTTCTTAGAAACATTAAAATACCTTTTTAGTTGGCAATTGGCTCTTCATTACTGAAGAAATTGTTTTATCAAGCACTGCAGACTGGGCAGCTACATAAGAGATAAAAAGTTAGTTACACAACTTTGGCTACATTGCAGTTGAAGCATTTTCCTGCTATAAATAGTATTTACACTATAATATGATGACAGTAATACAGTACGTGGAAACTATTGTACAATTCAGTTTGTTTAGTAGAATGGGAATAATTCAGGTGTGGTTTTTTTTAGGTTGTATATTCTCCAGTATAATAATCTAGTTGGACTTCTTCACATTTGTTTAATAATTTTTTTTCTAGTTATTTCTACAACAGATAAGATACTGGTGCATGTTAGTGAAGTCTGAACTTCATGTTTTGGGGAAAAGGGAGGGGGAGTTCTAAAACGTTTTGGAATTAGAGAAGTTTCATACTAAAGTTCCAGCAGGCCGATTATATAAAAATATTGTATAATGTTAAAAAGGGAGCTGTGACAAGCTATGGCAACATTGCCTGTGCTGAGTTAGTTCAATACACCACTCATTTTAGGTGCACATTTTTCTTATACCAATAACTACAATTTTAGTAGCCTTAATCCATTTAATTATTGTATTTCCATATTCTATAGCCACAGTATTTAACATTCAAATTTTAACCATGATAGGCATATGCCTAATGTCCATTTTTGTACAGTTCAAATTCAGTGACTGCAAGAACAGAACATGGGATCATTTGACTATGAGAGTCTTAGCACTCAGATAGCATATGCATGTACTTTGAGATACAATAAAAAGTTGCATAACTGAAGGATGGAATAAGTGAATTAGTGTTATGTTCATTTTCCATAGCTCGTCACACTCCATCTCTGTGCCAGACACACAAATAAAAACTCAGATCAGAGGTGTGGGGTATGAGAGTGCTGGGATTGCATGTTAAGGACAGTTGAAACCTGTTATCTGTAGTCCATATTGTAAGTTTTGGGAAACAGCATTGTTACTTTGCAAATAAACAAAACTTTTTAATCACTACAAGCCAACTGTACTTTGTCAGAAGTTTCTCTTACCACAAGGGTTAAGTTGGTTTTCTGAAAAATGGTCCAGCTGGAAGATGCAAGTTAATTTTGTTTTGTTTTGTTTTAAATTGTTACCTTTAACCATTAAAAAACAAGACACTGAACTATACCTATAGCTGCAGCTGTTTTTGATGTTGGAAGGTTGGTGCAGTCTCCAATACCAAACACATTGGGGTATTTCTTGTGTTGCAGAGTTTCCTTATCTATGTCTAACCAGCCAGCTGCATCTGAAACAGGACTGTTAACGAGTACATCAGGTGGTCCCATAGGTGGTGTGACATGAAGCATTTCATACTGGGCAGAGAAAGAAACAAACAGCTAGATAAATGGAATTCAATGAACAGGATTAAAATTGATACCCTTATTATAGCAGGGATGAGGGGGAGAAGATTAAAAAGAGTGGGGGAGAAAAGGCTCTTTTCCCTTGTTACAGTCAAATGTAAGGTTCAGCTTCTAAGTATTTTTGAGTGCGTCCTTGCTACATGCTTTAAGATCGCTAGCCAGTTACTGATCCACTCCAGCTGTGCTATTCACAAACAATTTTAGTCAGAGCGGAGCTTCTTTTAACCACTCAGCTACATCTGCTGAGAGTGCAGATCCTGCTCAGAGTTTTGAGGGAAATGACAATATTACCATTTTAGCTGGGATAGCCCCAGTTTTTGTTTCCATATTTGAAGTTACTCAGTTTTCTACATTCCGGGAGGTGGAGGGGAAATCTCAGTATTTAGTATTTCAGTTGACAGTAAATAATGATGGCAAAAACAGAAGACGACCAAACTAAAGGCCTGAAAGCTTCTATTACTGACCTGATAAACCTCAGTCACTCCAGGTGTGTCCAAATTCTCAAATACAGCTTCTTGTTTGTCTGCTCGAACCTCAATGAGATTGCATTTGTAGTTAACAACAATATTCCTAGCCTTAATTATCTCCAGCAATCTATTAGCATACTTCTGAACAGTAAAAATTGATCCAAGCGAAGTATTGAAGATGATGTTGGCTTTGGATCGTTTTCCTGTCTGGGTAGAAAGAAATTAATTTCTAACAGTGAACAGAGTACAAAAGTAGTAGAACTGGATAGCAACACTACACTATTGTAAATGAGATCATATACTGTGTAACTAGCAGCTGTTTTGAATTTTCATATATTAACATTCAAACAGTTAAAATGTGTATTGGAGCCACACCATCTCAAGGTTTGATCCTCTCAGTTATCTGGTCAGAAACTAGGTAAGTATCTTCTTTGGGTGAGACCTCCCAGGAGGACATTGGTGCCATGTGAAGTGGGATAGCAGTCATTTATTGGGTATCACTATTATTTGACTGAGAACTAAGCAAGTGCCCTAGCACAGAAAAAGGGAGCACAGCATTTTGGACGACATGCAAAACTGAGGGTTTAAATACTTGTCTATTAAAGGTCCCCTGGCACTGTTAGCCTTAATGTCTTGGCCAAACACCTATCTGGGTATTGCATTCTGTCTACATAAGATTCCCCTTGTACTTTCAGTTGGGTACAATCACATTGTTTGCTTTACTTCCTAAGCTGTGTATTTTTAATAGCTAGTGCATTTAGTGGCTCCTGTCAGAGTGTGTGTGTGTGTGTGTGTGTGTGTGTGTGTGTGTGTGTGTAGTATGCACACTGCTCTTGGAATCCCTTAGCATGGAAAAGTGTTATATAAATACACAGTATTAAATCTTTAAAATCTCTGTTCTATGTACCAAACATTACAGACAAGATCCTTGTCCTGCAATAGCCCCTTTGGTACCACAAAGCTTACTTTACTAGCCAGCTGAGTATTCCCACAGCATGGGAAAGTCACCAGGCCAACTCTACACCACCCCTCCCTCTCAGCCACCAACCTGGCTGAGTGGAAGGGGGCCTGGTGACAGTGCTTCTGCACTCCATCTATTCCAGGCAGTTAGAAGGTACCAAACTGGAGCCCATACTAGCCAGTGCAGATTAGGGCAATCCTGACACTGCTGTACGTTACGTTGGGGACTGAATTGGATCTCTGCTAGCCACAGAAACATGGAGCCGCAACGGTAGCTTAGAGCATCCTTTGTTCCTCAGCTGCACTGAGCCCTAATGGTCTGTTTCATATTGACAGACGCTCAGAAAAGTTGATCTGTAAACCAATTACTTTATTAAGATTTAAGTCACAACATCTTTTTCACCTCAGGGCTTATTTGTCATAATTACAACATGATCCCCATAAAATAAGTCTGATCTCTAGCAGTGGTAACAGGCATCATCAGTAGGGGATGTGATGAGATACGTACCTTTCTCAAGTAGGCCTCTGACAAGTACATGATTTTCTGAGGAGCCCCTCCACATTTCACTGGAGTGTTTGGAAAAGTGAAGATGGCATTTCCTTCCTTGAAGTCTTGCAAAGCCTTCCAGGTTTTCTCTACTGTGCGGACTGAATAATTGGAACCTATTTTAGGATAATTAAAACCCTCAGGCAAACCTTTAATCTACAACAAAACAAAACAAAACAAAGCTTTTATTAAAACATAGCTGGAACAAATTGATGGAAAATCTTCCCTTGTCTTCAGATATTTTGTAATCTATAACATAGATAATTTGGGAAACCAAAGTTTTAGCTGAAGGTAGAGCTATTTTCCACTGCACCCATAGACTGCTTAGTTTTTAAAAGGGGCTCTGTCAGGGGGTGAATCCCCAAAACTAGTTTTTGTGAAAATAAGCTGTACAAAGCAAAAAGCCCAGTATTAATGTTTCCATGATTTTTTTAAAAAAAGTATAACAGTTGTAATCATAAACATTGCCAGCAGAGTGCGTGTGTTATATAAAATACTGTATCACTGGGCTCGTGCACAGTCAGAGCCTGGCTGGAAGTGAAAAGGATTGAGCTGTTTACTTTTCAATTTCACTCAGTTTGGACAATGAAAACAAACAGCTTAAATAGTGAAAAGGAAATCTGATTTTTTTAAAATATTTCAGTTTTTGTCATCTGATGGTTATTTGTAGCAGAACTAAAGAAATCTTGGGCATTTTTTTTTTTTAAAGTAAACTATTTGTATCCTGAAATGTCTCATCACTGCTGTATCAGCATCTCAATCAATGTATTTATCCTCATGACACATTTACAAGGAAGGGAATTATTCCCTGTTTACAGAGAAGGGGCTGGGGCATTTCCATGGGACAACTCTCCCGAGTAAAGTTACATATGTGCATCAGTGTTTGCAGCACTGACACCTATGCCAAGACGACATGCATGTTCACTCTGATTTGCAATCAACTCCCTGGGACCACTTGCAGTGTGTTAAATTACACCCACACACAAATCCTTGCAGGATAGGGGCCTACCCATACCTGTCTTGTGGGCTTTAATTTTAATCATGATTTTATTATTTTTAAACCCAAATAGTTTGAGATCTAGCTATAAACAAGTGGTGACTGGTTTTGCCACACTGCGCTTTCCCTGGGTATTCATTGTACTTGTCTTTATCAGGTTGTGCTATAGAAGAGCTAACAGCAAACATTGACAATCATTAAATACTGTGCAGTTTGGTTTCAATAGACCTAATCTCCATAGGAGGTAGTTGACTTTAGATAAGCAACAAGCTGCTTCTCACTCACAAGTGATGGCTCAAGTAATTGTTTCCACTGTGCCTTTAGAACTACCAGAGCTCCATAGAATAGCATTTTCCCATTTATCAGAAGCTACGCCACATGCTCACCCAGGCTTAGGACAACAGTTGACGCAGATCCCACATATGCCTCCCACCCCAGTATCTAGGGGACTCAAGGCTTTAGGCTGCGCTTGCCTGATACAATGTAATGAACTTTAAGAAGAAAAAGTGGCACCGGAGAAAGTCCTTGCACCAGATTTGTTACCAGCACCAGTGGAAACTACTGCACCCTAACACGACCACTTTCCCCAATGCTCCACTATGGAGGGCAGATTTAAGTTCCAGAATAGGCTCTCTGGTGGGCCCTCCCCGCCCCCCATCAGCAGAAACTGCCCCCAAAATGCAATGAATCAATGTCTTGCTTGGGAGGCCTTGCTAATCTTCCACATCTGGCCCGGGCTAAACAGAGTTGCAGGCAACTGCACCACTTGCAAACCTCCTCTTCAGGCAGAAATTCTGCCAGTAGGGGCCTGAAGGCTGGGTGCTGCTGATAGAAGCTAGGCTGCGATTCAAGCCTCTTTTCTGTATTAAATCATTGGACCTCTTGAGATCCCTTGCAGTCCTACATTTTTAGGATTCTACAGTTTATTCAGCCAGCCAATCAAGAGTTATTTGTGTGTGTGTGATCAGATTTGTGTAGAAAACGTATCTCTGTGGAAAGGCACAATGGATAAATAAGATGACAGCTTTGCTATGTGATTAGCGAGAGGTCATTTATGCTGAATGGTTTGAGAATGGCCCCAAATTGGAGCCCCTACTATCCAGTGCAATTTAGAGCCTCTATGGACAGAAAGACATTAATATTCATTCATTACTGCCAGAACTAGTAGACACACTTTATATACTGTATTGAAAAGCCACTAAATTTAGAGGATCACAAAAGTATATAGTGCAATTTCTATGCAATTAACACCAGTAAAAATGTATTTGGTTTAAAGCAAATACCTTTTCATAATGCAGTTGAAGCCCAAGGGCAATTATCAAATATTTGTAAGATATCTATAGTATAAAGAAAAAAAAAAAAAAAAACAACAGATGTCATTTATACATAATGAACTTTGCCTCAAAAGGTTAATTTAAACAATCTGACAACTAATAATGAACACTAACTGTGAGAGAATGCAAGGTATGGAAAGCAAATCAAGCCATGTATTATAAGCCATATGAGGTAAATACTAAAATGTGGAATGATTAAAAATGCATCATTATGAAATAAACTAATACACTGAACATCCAAAACATTTACTCCATTGTTCAGCAAGGTAATTACTCCTTATTTTGCAGTATTCAATTCATTAAAACGAGTGCTGAAAACATGCTGGTACTTGCTACCTGGAGAGAAAAGCATCTATTGATCTGGAGGGTTTTGTTGTCCTGGTTTTTGTTTTAAATAAATAAATAACCCACAGAAGCAATTGTTATCATACTATCAGTGTAACAAGTGTTTTCAGTACATTTTCAGGACTTGTTGGATAGTGTAGAGTATCCTTTTCATGGCACCCATACAGGATGGGAAATTCATTTTGTATTTATGGGAGCCCTTTGGAGTGGGAAATCAGAAGGAAGTTTTTCTGACACTATCTTAAGGCTCACGGATATCCATCATTATCACGGTTACCTTTTTGTCATCCGCTAAACGGATGCAGTTCTTGTCTGGATCCAACTCTGTAACACTAGATTTGATCCATTTTACACCTGAAGGAATCACGCTGGCTGTCGGACGTCCAGATGTTGCCAGCTGTTTTGCACCAGCGCCAACTAGCGTCCACATGGGTTGATAGTAATGTTTCTGAAAGAAAACTCATCTCCGTGAATCGGCCTCCATTTCACAGCTGACAGGACTGCAGAGGTAGCTCACTGAGGCCCAGGAAAAGGGAAAGTAGGACAAAGTGCCTCTGATGATCCCCTATAGTGATAGGGGTATTGACTGCCTTTGGAGGGAGTCTGGAGCAGACAAGGGCTGGCTGTGATGCAGTGCATTAGGCATGTAGCCATGGAACCCAAAAAGATATTTCACTTCATAGAAGATAAACTCTTCAATCAGGTCATGAAGTTCATAAACATAAGGGCAAGATTGAGTAGTTGCCCACCAATCTATTGGTTGCACAACCTAGCCCTAAGGGTGAGAGTAAGGTGACCAGATGTCCTGATATTATTGGGACCATTGTCTTATATAGAATACCTATTACCCCCCCCAAGGCCTCCTCCCCCAATCCAATTTTTCACACTTGCTATCTGGTCACCCTAGGTGCGAGGCTTCCTCTCTGAAGCAACAATATGTTGCTTTTTGATCATTTGAACCTTCACCTAGAAGGTCGGTCACATTTTGTTACTAATGAAAGAAGCTGTATAGACAGATATGTACTTTGTAAATGTCACCTCATGCATCATAGCTAAAGGCAGTTTTTTTATGGTGCATTACACGGTATTCTCCTGCTGGGAGACCTGTGAGGATTTTAATTCTAAATTGCATAACAGAGGGAAGGAGCAAGAACAAACACAAACCAGCTTCTCAACTAAGGAAAGCTAGTACTTCATTCTCTAATTTTAAAAGGATTTTTACCTCATTTGGTTCAACAACAGCCACGTTGTCAGCTCCCACTTTCCGCTTCATCCGAGCACTCATGGTGATTCCACCACTGCCTCCGCCGAGCACCAGCACTTCGTAGTGATTCTTAGCAGCACACCTGGATGCAGTGTGCAGTTGGAAATAGCCCATTTTCTGCACTCCCGGCCTAAGCAGGTGTACAAAAGAACGGACACAGAAGCAGGTGGACATCACTCCCATGTTTGACATCTTCAGTAAGTATGAATCTACAAGATAAGGAAAGGCACTGGTGAGAATGAAAAGAAACGAGGAAATGAATTATCCTTGGTTGGTAGTGGATTCTACAGTTCACCATAATTGACTGTGTTGTTTTAAATATTATAAGCACCACCCAGAGCATGGGATAGGTGCTCACAGAATATATATTTTAATAACCAAATAAAAACATACAAGCATTTTATTTTTTCTTACATGCTGAGACTCTGTTCAGGCTTCACAAGCAATTACAGCGGGAATTTCTGCTTTTATGCTGCTTTTGGGATGTGTGTGTTGCTATCAACTCTTGCAGGAGAAATGAAACACTCTCAGCTTGGGTCTTGGCGATGAAGAAAGCAGAGGGAATTCAGTGGAATGACAGCGTGGCCCTTATCTGTTTTAAGATCCTAAACCTATTATGTATTTTAAAAAGATTCAGTTCCCTGTCTACAATCACTTTTTAGCATCTAGGTCAACAAGTTATTGAGATGAATGTTACCAGATACAAAGTTCAAACCTGTGCCCATCCACCCCTGAAATGACTAAAACAAATGTGAATCAGAATCATAAAAGACAGTGTTCCAGTCTAAAGATATAGCAAGTTATAAAGCATTACCAAGATTTATCTGATCTTTTATTGCAGTTAACCCAATATCAATATACATGACTTTAACTGAGAAAAAAAAGCCAACTATGAGGATTTTTTTTTTTCCTATAAGTGCAACACCCTTTGATATTTTGCATCTAGTAAAAACAAATGGGGGGAAACCCCTTTTTAAAAATTTTAATCAATCATTTATAAACTGAATTTACTTTTTTTTTTTTTTGCTCTGCATATTAGTAGGAAACATTTTGCTATTCTAAGCCATAAAGTTGGTGACAGCAGTGTTGCCAACTCTTACAATTTTAATCACAAGTCTCAATATTTATTCATAAATATATCCCCAGCTCCTTATTTATTTAGCATGTGCACAGTTATCTAGCCAAGTGATGGCATCTTCAGTGGCGTGATGCAGTTCTTCTAGGCCACCGCTGATTGGCTGCAGAGACCTTGCCCGGTCCAGAACCTGTTCAACAGGGACCACTGACAGGGCAGGTCAAAACCAGGCAGGCAAATTGTGGGGTCGGTGACGAGGGACCAATTGGGGATTATAACAGATATCCATTCCTTGCGCCAGAGTGTTTCCGCCCTAACATATTGGAGTTCAACGATGCCTGTGACCCAAGGTAGCAGGACTCGTGATACCTTCACGAGCAGGCCAGTGTGCCATACCGTGTCATACGCCGCTGTTAGAGCGATGAAAACAGCACCTGTTTTCAAGTTTCTCTGGAAGCCATTTTCAACAAATGTGGTCAGCACAAGTACTTGGTCAACGTGCAACGGCCTCAGCAAAAGCTCCTGAAGTCATGTCGCAAGATGAAAATCTCAGCATTCATTTAAAAAAAAGGGGGGGGGGAGGGCTGGGGAGCAGGAGGAGTATGTTTCTGGCCACTCAGAGTTGCAGAGAAAAGCTTGAAAATACAAACCCCAAAGGCTCAAAACCCAGAAAGCAAATAGAAAAAAATATAATAAATGTTGGGTTAATATTTCATGACTTTCAAATGCTTGGAATTGGCAATACTGATCCAGTCACAGTCTGCAAGAGATAACACCGCGTGCTAATAGTTTTGAAACAGATTCACTGATCTATTTGCCCTTGAAAATATGCTACTTTTTTGAAGGAAATTGAGATTTTCCCCATGAATAACAAAATCTTATCTCAGATTTTCACTTTAAGTACTGTAGATCTCGGTTTGGGAGATTTCAGGGACTACATAGTTACTACTGGGTGGTATATTTTAGGAGTCTGATTTGCAGAAGATTTTCAGGCCTCAGAGAGTGAGAGATTCACTGGAATAATAAACCCTACTTTCATTTTACAGGACTATTTCCTGTGCATATGGCACAAATAACAAATTTTAAAAAAAATGGACTAACAACCCAAGTAAAGGGGACAAATTGTTTTAAGCCTAAAAAAAAAAAAAAAAAAAAAGGGATTACCACCTGGCAGTGGCAGTTCCTGTTCTCTCCAAGTCACCAAGGAGGATTACAGGGAAAACAAGTTGTAAAATGCATTCTATCAGGAAGTTAAACTGGGAATCCTGTTTCTGGAACATCATGAACTCAGCATATTTAGACTCTCTACATTTTTTAGGATCCTTGTACACAAATAGTAGCTGTGGGTTTGCTGGATATATTTGTTAAGTGGTAATATACAATATATAGATTTCCATCAGGGAAAAGATCAATTTATGTAAGATGCTATGTAATGATAGTGTTACCCTCTATTTAGCTGAATGAAGTTTAGGAGGAGAAGCAAATCTCTCCCCCCCCCCAAAATCTTTTCTAGCTCTAAAAAAAGAAAAAAAAAGTGTTTTACTTTTAGTCACACATGTCCTACTAGATTAAAATGTAATATTAATATATTTTCATATTGTTATAGAGACCATAAATAGAAGAGGATTCCATAGGTATGTACTGTGTATTACCAAGTGCAAATCCATTGATGCTATTTGTGATCAAGAGTCTAAAAAGATTTGAGTTCATGAATAAATGAATGTGGGAGAAATTCCAGAAGGAACTGCAGAAACAGACCTTGGCTAATAACATATCAACCCTAGTATTAGAACACTGGCAGAAACTAGTGGTGAACAACGAAACAGAGGAACTGCACAACACATAAGACAGATGAAACTAAAGCAATAATAGTCAGACTACTTAAAACCTACTGAGCTGGAAATTTACACTTCAGCAAATAGTAATATATCCTTTAATCTGCGTGTTTTAAAAACAATTTGAAATAAGCTACTGTAAACAAAATATTCAACTTTAAAACAGCTTTGCACAACACATCAAGAAAGCTACGATTTATGTACCCCACCAGAATTTAATCTGCACCTTCAAGAACGCAGTATCTAAAATATTTAAAAGTTAATTTCAAACTCAATTTTAGATAAAGCTATTCTATTTCTGCACCTTATAGTGCAAAACTGCCTAGTAAAAGAAACTACTCATTGCTTTATACTTCCAGTTTTAAAGTAGCTGTCACTCTAAGAAAAATGAAGATCTATTTTAACAATGTTTTTAGTAAGGTTTTAGAATGTCTTTCCTGCCTTTTCTGTAGTTTGTCATTTTGCTGACATGTTTTTTGTCACTTACTCAAATACAGCACATTTAGAACCATTACAATATCTGGGTCACAATCTGAATTGTATACTAAAACTTCATTTTCTGGTAAGCTCTACTATAGTTGTACTAACAAAAATGTTTAAACAGCATTGGCATGTGCTCCTGGGAATGTTTTTCTACAGACTTTTAGAAATCTCAAAACAGTAAGTATTCCTTAAAGCTTAATTATGCTGCTGATGTACCATAATAAATTTCCCCTTGACAGTTTTGTATTTTGTTTCCCAATTTTATGATACAAAATTAAACAAGAGGGATGAGTCTAAGAGAAGCTAGTTCATATGACTGATGGAAACAAGACATTTGTGTCTGCACTGCTTAAATAGCTACAGGCTTTTGGAATGCACTGACCACCAGAAGACAGTAGAGCTCAGTGGATATGCTGAACTTCCATAAAAAGTTAATGTTTGAAAGCCCCACAGGTGAGCTAAGACAGTATGAATAGTTAAACGGCAATGCGTTTTCAGGTCTTGAGAGGAGCAGAAAGGGGCAATTGATCTATATTCAGGATTTTAGTTACTGGGAAAATAAGATCATGACTGTGAGAATTGGACTCTATTTGCCATTAGAAAAGTCGCTCTGTGTTCTAAGGATTGCAGATTTCACAAGTGCCATGGAGGAAAAGGGGTTTGTTACCGTATGGGCCTCCCCAAGGCTACAGCATGCCAACCCACATCTCTCCCAAACTGTTACATCTCAAGCTCCTCTAAAATTGCTCCGATTAAATGATCCCACGTCTGGCCACCCCAAAAATGTCTTAACATTAGGCCTATTCCTGCTGCCTGACAAGGTTTGCTATCAACACAACAGAAACGGAGGTAGCCTCTTAGTGCTGCAGCAATTGGTTTTCAGAGGAAACAGACTAAACAATCGATCCTGCAAACGCTTATTGGTGTAGATACAACTTACTCATGGGAGTAATAAAAATACCTAGGCCTTCATCAGAAGATCCCAAAGCACTTCACAAAGGAGGTCAGTATCATTAACCCCATTTTACAGATGGGGAAACTGAGGCACGGAGATGCAGTGACTTTCCCAAGGTCACCCAGCAGCAGAGTCAGGAACAGAACCCAGCTCTTCTGAATCCCAGTGTAGTGCTCTATTCACTAGGCAACACTTCCAATTAAAATTATCTAGACCCCACTGGTGTGTGGCTTTTTCTTTGTTTTTTGTTTATTTAAAGAACCCCTGGTTTACAAAACCAGTGCTCTAATAACCCTTACGGTATGGTAGTCTCAGAACTACTCCCACCGAGGTCATTCACAGGAACAGAGGTTTACAGGATTGGGCCCTAGCAGTTCTTCCTTCCATCGTTTTGCAAGGCAAAAGCATGGCCTACGAAAGGTAAGCGGGGCAGAGGGCACAAATGCTATCTTAACAGTGAATCAAGGGACATATTCACACTCGCATAATACTATCAGCTTACGCTAAACATTATGTCTGCCCCTTGCAGACATATGCAGCCATTTAATAGGTATTCTGAATACTGTATCTAAGGCCTGGTCTACACTACAAGTTTAGGTCGAATTTAGCAGCATTAAATCGAATTAACCCTGCACCCGTCCACACAACGAAGCCATTTTGTCGACATAAAGGGCTCTTAAAATCGATTTCTGTACTCCTCCCTGACGAGGAGAGTAGCGCTGAAATCGACATTGCCAGTTCGAATTAGGGTTAGTGTGGATGCAATTCGACGGTATTGGCCTCCGGGAGCTATCCCACAGTACACCATTGTGACCACTCCGGACAGCAATCTGAATTCGGATGCACTGGCCAGGTAGACAGGAAAAGCCCCGTGAACATTTGAATTTCATTTCCTGTTTCCCCAGCGTGGAGAGCTGATCAGCACAGGTAACCATGCAGAGCTCATCAGCACAGGTGACCATGCAGTCCCAGAATCGAAAAAGAGCACCAGGATGGATTGTACGGAAGGTACTGAATCTGATCACTGTATGGGGAGACGAATCTGTGCTATCGGAACTCCGTTCCAAAAGACAGAATGCCAAAACATTTTCAAAAAAAAAAAAAATCTCCAAGGCCATGATGGACAGACTATAGGCTGAGCAAGTGCAGAATGGTGGTTCACTCTACTTCCCTGTAATTCAACCACCCTCCCCTCTCCCCTTTGATCTCTGCTTGCAGAGGCAATAAAGTCAACGTTGTTTCAAATTCATGCATTCTTTATTACTTCATCACACAAATGGGGGGATAACTGCCAAGGTAGCCTGGGAGGGGTGGGGGAGGAGGGAAGCAACGGGTGGGGTTATTGTACGGGCACCCCCTAGAATGGCATGCAGCTCATTTCTGCTGGATGTCTGGGGCTCTGACCCGGAGCAGCCGCTTGCATCTGTGGTTCTTTAGTAGGCTTGCCCGATATTCTAGGCAGCACTGAATCTCTATTAGACAAAACTTAAAGAAGAGAATAACCTGGGGAGTCATTCCCATTTTTGTCTAGGCGCCCCCGACCGACCTCACGGAGGCTGGCCAGGAGCACCCATGACAGTAGCAGATGGTACAGCATGACTGGTAACTGTCTTTGCTAACTTGCAACGGCAAGAAGCTGCAGCTGTGTAGCACTGTAGTACCGTGTCTGTCCGCAGCATCCAGTAGACATATGGTGACAGTGAAAAAAGGCTGAACGGGCTCCATGCTTGACGTGCTATGGCGTCTGCTCGGGCAATCCAGGGAAAAGGGCGCAAAATGATTGTCTGCCGTTGCTTTCACGGGGGTGGGTGGGGTGGGGGTTGACTGACGACATTTACCCATAACCACCCGCAACAAGTTTTTGGCCCCATACCAGTCATTGGGAGCTCAATCCAGAATTCCAATGGGCAGCGGGAACTGTGGGATAGCTACCACAGTGCACCGCTCCAAAAGTCGACGCTTGCCATGGTTCTATGGACACACACCACCGAATGAATGTGCTTAGTGTGGATGTGTGCACTTGACTTTATACAATCTGTTCCCAAAAATCAACTTCTGTAAAATCGGAGTGATTTTGTAGTGTAGACATACCCTAGTACTCCACCACCACCCCATATGCACTAGCTAATCCACCAAAGAGCGAACAACTCTAAACAACATGTTTGGTATTAATTCAGTATCATATAAACAGAGATAACAAGGAGTCTGGTGGCACCTTAAAGACTGCCACCAGACTCCTTGTTGTTTTTGTAGATACTGACTAACACGGCTACCCCCTGATAATAAACAGAGATAGGTCCTTTAGGAAGGCAGCAAACCGGTCCCTGGTATCAAAAAGGCCGAGAAATGTAAACTGTCAAGGAAATCTCGGGGACTGGCCCCAGTCCATGGCCCAGTGGTTGAGAAACCCTGCTAGAGGAGTCCTATCTCAGGACCGAGGAATATCTTCCAGCAACAAACAGAACATGCAGAATACAAAATGCGTAAAATCATCATATTTATAGAGTGGATAAATTTCACAACAGACTGCGTGGGCACTGTCTGTCACAACAGCTAACAAACACCATCACAGAACAAATACTTCTGAAGCAAGCTGTGAAATCCAGGGAAACTCAGGGATGACTATGCACCAGAAGAATTACTACTTTATGTTGGGCAACCAAAGGTCAATTTAAAAAAAATAGAAGCACTAGCTTGATTCAGAAACAAAATGAAAAGATCTGCTGCACAATGAAGAGCCTGCTAGAAAGGAGTGCTCTCTTAACAGCTGGCCACTGATTAACCCTGTTCGGACAGAATGCTGATTCTACACTGTACACTCAGCTCAGATTACTGAATTGTACATGGCACACTCCTATTATCAACATTCATTAACCTTGTGCATACTAAAACCTGGCTCTATGTGAGAGTTTTCTCTACAGCTGGGGTACTTAACCCTAGTCACATACAGGTCATCATAAACATTTATGGGTGGTAGTCTGAAAGAGCCAGCACCGGGGAAGGCTAAAGATGAACAACAGAGCTACTCTTCCAGTCCTGATAACTGACTCCCCCCCCCCCTCCCATTCAGGAGCTATGGGCCTGAATAGGGATATTACACATTCAAAGTGTGTAATAATCTCACAGCCACAACCTCCCAATGAGCCAACACACCAAGGTCTCTGCTAGGGTTGCCAAGCCTCTAGGACAGTCCTGGAGTCTCCAGGAATTAAAGATAAATCTTTAATTAAATATTAGGTCGTGTAATTAAACCTCCAGGAATAGAGCCTACCCAAACTGGCAACCCTAGTCCCCGCCCGCCCAGGGCTGGCAGTTATTTCACAATAAATTACCCCTCCCGGGATACTTTGCTGAGGCTGGGGGGAGGAGATACAATCCTGGCCAACGCTTCCTCTGACTCAAACAGTTCTAATGCCCCAGGCTGGGAGTCAAACGCTGCTGGGCAGGGCAGGGCAGGGCAGGGCAGGGCAGGGCAGGGCGCTGGCCGAGTGGCACACGGGGCTCTGCACGCCATGACCTCTGCGGAGTCAGGTCTTCCCCAGGCAGTTCGGTTGCTCCTTTGCAGCTCAGGCCGGGTCCCGTGGGGAGGCGAGGGGCGTGCGCCGCACGCCTCGCAGCGCCCCCGGAGCCTGCGGCCACTCAAGGCACGGCGGGCGGAGGAGGCCGGGGTGGCGCAGCCGCTTTCTTCCTCCAAAGTCAGGCAGCGAGTTCAGCGGCTGCAGGGCTGGGCGAGGGGCCCGACCCCACCCGGCCTGAGCGGGAAGGAGCCCGGCGCCCTGGGGGAGGGTGAGGAAGCAGCTCCAGTTTCCACCCTGGGCAACTTCCAGGTGCCAGCGAGCGGAGCCCTTCCCCGGACTACAGCCTTCTCCAGGGCAGCGTTAGCGGGCTCGGCCGGCAGAGCGGGGCTCCCCCAGCTGCGAACGGGGCAGCACAGACCCCTGCAGCCAGAGCCCCCCGTGGCGATAACCCCGCCAGCCCCGGCCGGGGGCGCTCCGCGCAGCTCTGCGCGCTCGCTCGCTCGGGGCCAAGTCCTGGAGCGCGGCCAGCGCCGGACACAGGCTCCCATCAGCCCCTGGCCTAGCGGCACTGACCCCGCCCTGCCCCCCCGCACCCGGGACTCGCCTGCCTATGGCACTGGAGGAGCCCTGGATGCCCGCCCCAGCTGCGCAGCGCCGACAAGCTTCTACCTCGTTCTCCGCTGCCGCCAGCGGCGATCGCCTCTTATTCTTGCGCAACAGGTGCGATCAGCTGGGAGGGGCCGGGCCAGGATCTCCCGGGTGCGCGGAGGCATTTCATACCCGGGCCGCGGCGCTGCCTGCCAACGCTCCGGCCCTGCACGGGGTGGCGAGGACGTGAATCCAACAGGCCCAGGCCCCGAGCCAGCGCGTCCACCTGGCTCAGCCCACGGGCCCTTGACAGGGAGCGGGTAAGCGGCCCCAAAGCCAGGAGCGAGCCCGTGGGGGCGGGCAGCCGCAGCAGTTGTCAAGTGCTTTGGGGTCCGCGGTGGCAGGTGCGACCCACGGAGTGCGACAGCTGGAGGCAAGGAGTATAATGCAGGGTAATAGAGCAGAGCTGCAGCGCGAGCAACTGCCAGGGCCTCCCTGAGCCTTTGACCAACGTGCTCTCCAGTACCGCTGCACGCCGCCTCCTGCGAAAAACCTCCCCTCTCCCCTGCAAGTGCTTAAATAAAATACAACTGACCATCACTGGAGGAGGGGTTTTGCTCTCAGGAGCAGATCGGAGTTATTCTCTCCTCCGCCCCTGCTTTCATGGCTTCCTTTTGCCCTTACAACCACACAGCTTTGAAATGCTTCAACGGTGAAACTCACTTCAGCTTTGGAGAGGTTATTCCCAGCTGGTCTATAGTCTAACGATCCTGGACGCTCCTTTGTGCTGGAGCTGTTGTCTCCTCAGTCTTGCATTGGCTCTAACCTTTAAATGAATCACCCCATCATGCCTTTTGGTAAAATACATGAATTAAGCTTGATAAGAAGTGTCAAGAAACTACAATCCTAAGGGAAAGCAAGATCTAAATTGTAATTAACCAGAATCCCTGTTAAGTTAAAAACTGTACTGTGAAGCTTTGAGCTGAGGGGAGGATGCATCTTGTAAGCTGACATTGCATTTTACTGAAGCCCATTATTGCCAGGCATGTCTACATTTGAAAAAAGACACCTTCTAAAATTGAAGGAAGCTCTTCTCTTACCCTCTGCCCCATTGTCTCCTTTGACTTGCTTCTGTATACCTCTGTAGTGTCAAGACATTATGAAATTATAATAATCAATCAGTTGTGTTTAACTGTATGGGCAAAAGGAAGCCAGAAAAGTTTAGGGGAGGCCTAATATGTAAGGAAGTGATAATTCATCAGCATGTGAGAGCAAAATACCCCTTAAGCAACCAACAGGCCCTAAGCTGATGTCAGTCTGTCTCCTCAGTATTGTTCTGACCTTCCCCTCTTGGTGCTAGGTTTTTGCCCTCTGTCTAGAGTCTGTTCAACTGCTGCATTGAAGCCTAGAGATGAATAAAGCGTGGCTGGGGAGAGATACAGCGAATGTAACACTGAGGCAGGCCTCAACTGGTCAGAGATCATAGGGCTGTTCCAGTTTACTCATGCTTCTGGAAGAGGGGTAGATTAAGAGCTGGAGGAGAGGAGTATGAAAAAAAGGTGTTTTTTTTAATTGGTTAAGCACCCTCTACCCTTAATCATTTGCAGTAGAATCACTGTACATGTAAATTCAGGGCATTTTAAAAAGGAGCCAGGCACATGTCCCGATTATCTGTGGTTTATGCATATTTAGACGCAGCTTTTGCTATAGGACATGAATAACCTTTTCATCTCAGAACTACATCTGGTACATAGGAGTACTGCAGTTTGTGTCACTCCCATGTGGGCAGCCAGGGTTGTGAGTTCAATCCTTGAGGGGGCCATTTAGGGATCTGGGGCAAAAATCTGCCGGGGATGGTACTTGGTCCTGTTGTGAAGGCAGGGGACTGGACTCGATGACCTTTCAAGGTCCCTTCCAGTTCTATGAGATAGAGCTCAGAACACTATGGAGATATACCTTTCTTGTACTTTGTATCTTATTTTTGGTAACTTTGAGCTTCTACTTGTAGAAAGGAGGCTCCAGATGCTTGTCACAGCTAATGGCTGCAACCAGTTATCGCAAAGTTAAGTAAAACAGCGTACTCCTCTTCTCATGAATGTTCTCTGCCAGGTACAGAGGACGTCTGTGATTAGCTGTAACACTAAAGATTTTGGTTGATATGCTGCAATTTTGCCTGCTTTATAAACCCATATGGTACAAAATTAGTAAATGGGATTTTTTTTAGCAAAAACTAAAAGAAATAAACATCTTTATTTATATCAAGTTGCTATTAATTTTGATGGAATACAAGTTGTACTTGCAATTGACCATCCTTCTTTGTATTTTGTATTTCTTTGATCTTTTGCAAGATTCTGGGGTTCTATTAAACTGTAGGACTACAGTGTATGATTCCCATATGAAACCCTTATCCCCCAATAGTCAGTGTGCATTCCCTCAGGTACCTACTAGAACCAGAGCAAATTCTTGCAGGGCTTTTTGTTTTTTAAGCACAATAAGCTCCTTTTTTCAGCTGATTGAACTATCCCTAGTTCTAGCCAATGCATGACTCTTCTTGATAAGAGCAATACAATGCTTACAAAAGTATCGCCTGCCCCCAAAATATCAGACGGTGTAATCTCTTCTACTTTGCTGATATATTATCTGTTTTAAACTTTACAGGTTTTAGTTTTCTATCCCCATGCATTCCCCTTGCTCCCTTTTTAGTCTAAAATGAACATTTTTAGCAGCACAAGTTTCTAAGCCTTTCCTTGTGATAAATTCAAAAAAGAACCTTTGACAGTTTTTTTTTAAAATTGGTTAAGCACCTTGTACCCTTAACCATTTGCAGTGGAATCACTGTACATGTAAAATGAATGATTATTACAGAATTTATCAATTATGCCTTCACTAATTTTACTCTTTTCATTAACAGACACTTGAGAAAAAGAGAGAGGAAATGTTCACACACACCCATCCTCTCCCTTAGACTAGGAATGTAAGATGCCTGTGTCTGCTTAGACACAATTATAAGTCTCAAAAGCTTGTCTCTTTCACCAACAGAACTTGTTCAAATAAAAGATATTACCTCACCCACCTTGTCACTGAAAAGGTAGTCATTCTCTGCCTTCTGGTTCGAAAGGACTGATCTTCAACTGTATCTATTGGGAAAAGACTTAATTTCCCCAATACAAGGATAGTTTGAGAATTAAGTCTTTTATTCTGTGCCTCCCCCCCCATACCTGGGTGAGGGTTTTCCCACAGATTTTCCCACTGGGCATTTTACTATCTTAACAAACAAGTTATTTCAAATTGGTATGTTAATTATTCTGATTGATCAAAATATTTCTAGAAGCAGCAGATGTAAGCTGAGCATGAAGAAAACACTTACCTCTAGCAGTAAAGGGAAACTCTTCCAGCAGCAAGTCAGTGTTGCCAGAAGTGGCTGGCAGTTGTAGTGTCCTAGCAGGATTAGTGTGCAGGCTGGAGAGGGAAAGACTGATGTATGTCTGGCCTTAACACACCGCTACATTGTCTGGGCACCTGATTGGCTGCAGTTGGACAACTCCCTCACAGAGACTGGTCCCCTGACTAAAGCTGCAAGTGAGGGCTAAGACTATGTTCATCATCCCTTTTCTGCCTTCCTAGGGAGTCCAGACCACACACCCCAAAGAGACTGACTGGCCTGATGTTTGTATTACCCCGTTCCATAGAAAAACTGGGTGAGGTTTAGGAAAAACGGGTTTCAATTTAGTTATGAACAGATGGTAGGTTACATTTGCAACCACCTGTTGCAAATGTTGTTGGATCTGAGATGCTGCCCCATAGGAGTATGCAATCTTTGAGCACAGGAGGCTCATTCATCCCACTTTAGTCCTACCTTCTCAGGGACAGCTCAGGATCTGCACAGCCAAATATCTCTCAGCAACATGTGCCTATCCCTGTGGTATAATTTTCTAACATGAATAGTTATAAATTGTGCCAGTCCATAATACAGAAGTGGGAGAGAAAAGTATGTGTTATTTCCCATTCCTAAATATGTCTACTTGTGTATATGTCAGTCTAAGCTTAAATTGTGAGCTCTGGAAAGTGCCTAGCAGAAAGCAAGCACTACCATAAACAGATTACAACAACAGGTGGAGATAGGCAATGGAGAAGAAAAGCAACTGTGAAGTCATGTCTGATTTCTTCAAGTCTTGTTTCTTTATGGAGAAATTTAAAATACACTTCTTCCTGGAGGCCTCTAAATTGCAGCAACTCCCCATCAAAAGTAGAACTAACAAAACAGACAAATCAGGAAAATACATAAAATATAGTAACAAATATGTTCCCAAGCAGGCTACCAATGCCATCCTCCATCCACTTTTGAAGCTTAGGAGGGCAACAAACAAGGGTGAGCAGTTAAATTTCTCCATGCAGGTATGAAAGATCATGTGAGGTATATTTTATTTGTAGTTATTTTTCCTAAATTTGTAACTAGACTCAGGAGCAATTAGAGAGATTGCCAGTAGTAAAACCACCATATCTGCCACAATTGTGAGTCATTTCCTTAATTTAAATCTCTTAAGCACTTAGACTTTGACTGGAATTTCTTCCATGTGAGCCACCCTCTTCCCACCAATAAAACAGAACTTGCACTCTAAACTGCACTTTAAAAATATTGAAAAATCATTCATGTCCTACAGTTACTATAAGAAAAGATTAACTAAGACATCTCTTTTCTACACCATCTATAAATCATTTTAACCTGCAATTATAAAGCAGAAATCAGAACAAATTAAACATCAAAAAAACCAAAAAACTCCACAAGGAAAAAAAAGGCCCAGAATCTATCTCTCTGCAGAATACTTATACACGCATATTTAGTAACTGAAGAGTAATCTGATCAGAAATCATTTCCTTTTACCTCTAACCATGTGGTCCACATTATACAGTGTGTGAAATGCTATATCACACAAAAGTAACAAACTGACAACAAACCTCAGATCAACTAATCTATTAAAATTTCATTGATAAAACAAGTTTTGCATAATTTTAAAATAAACAATTACTGGGCTTTTCAGAATATTTGATGCTCATTAACTAGAGACTATTGTAACACACACAAAGAAATCAGAACTTGGTTTAAGATTAACTACAGCTTTAGTGGGTTTTAAAATTTCATGTCTCATATTTCATTAATAGCGCAGTATAGGCCTGCTCGTGTTACCACTTAAATCCATATCAAAACTCTGATTGACTAAAATGAGATTAGGGTCAAGTCCAACATGTAATAATTTTGTTGATATTCAACTAACTTGTCTGAACATGTGATGTCAACATCACATAAATACAAATGACTGATCAATGCACTTAC